CTCATGGTGATTTAAAAGACCCTACTTTCTCTCTGACCCTAAAGGAGCTGCTGGCCCTAGAAGGTTGGGATCAATCTTATCAAGTCTATGTGTTACATTTACTTTTACAAAAAAAAGTATGTATACATTCTATCAGCACACAAAAGCAACTCTAAGGTTGCTAGTGGCAGTTGAAACAGTCCTATGTGGTCACCAGAAAATAAGCCATTCCTCATATCAAATGGGATAAACTCCTTGTACCTCTTGCTGTGTTTGGATCCCTTTGCCTTGTTTTGTAGAGGTGAAGTGCCCATGATCATGTCCAAGTAAGTCTTTGTCTTTCACTGTCTGAATCATGTTCCAGCTGCTTGACCCTACCGTGTGGGTTCAGAACTCCTTTGGGCATAACAACTAAGTCTCTTTCCAGATCAGTATAATAAAGGAGTGATGTGCAATACTTACTGTTTGTTGTATCTTTGGTCTGAGAAAACAGCATTCAGTTTGAGGTGCACACTAAGTTCTTTGTCGGATGAAGGGTTTTAGAACATTAAAGGTGCTGGAGAGGTGGTTCAGATGAAAAGCACTGGCTACTCTGAGTTATCCAACACCCTCTTCTGGCCTTGGACACAGTGCACAAACACTCAGGGGAAACACCATACACATAAGTCTTACCAGCCATTAAATGCAGTGATGTAAATAAAATCCCAGCCCTTTAAATTGGGAAAGGAAACCAGTAACTGTTGGATGTCCAACATGGCTTCCCAGAATCTCTGGTAGAGTTAAGAATGAAGGACTTGCGGGGTGGCTCAGTGGTTAGGAGCATTTGTTGCTTTTGTATTTATGCTTTTGTATACAACAAAATCAAACCATGTGGGTTTGATTCCCAGCACACACCTATATGGTGCACATATAACACATACATACAGGTAAAAAAGAATAAGTTAAGCATCAGGAGGGCTGGCAAATGGCTCAGTAAATAGGTGAAGCACTTCTCATTTAAACTCATGTAAAGGTGGAAGGAAGGCAAGAACTGACTCCGAACTATGGCACATGCACACAAACACAGCATAACAAAAAGGAAATGGTTTAAAATAATGGCTCCATGAGCTCATGTTTGATTATTTTGGTCTGAAGGTGGTGGAACTGTTACCTGTGGCCTTGGAGATGTGTCACTGGGGGTGTATACCTTTAATCCCAGTACTAGGGAGGGGGCCTATCAATTGAGTTGGAAGCCAACCTGAAGTACATGAGATTCTGTCTCAAAAAGTGATATAGTGACAGGTGGTTAAGTCATAGTAGGTGATCATAAGAACTTTGTAGACTATCCTTGCAGTGCTGGGGATTGAAACTACACAACCAGCGTTCAACTGAGCTGCAACCCAGCCAGTTCTCTATCCTGATTGTTGTCCACACACTTTGTGCTAAGGATTGAACCTACAAAGTCTGAATTGCCTATATTCCCAGGCCTGCTTTTTCGTTTTTGGTTTTTCAAGACAGTTTCTCTGTATAGCCCTGGCTGTCTTGGAACTCACTCTGTAGACCAGGCTGGCCTCAAACTCAGAAATCCACCTGCCTCTGCCTCCCAAGTGCTGGGATTAAAGGTATGCGCCATCACCGCCTGGCTTGTGATGGCTTTTCTAAAATGACTAGAGTTGAAATGTTTCCTGGTTCACACCACTGGTCTTTCTCCACTAGAATGAAGCTCTTTGAGGACAGGATTCACTCCTGCAGGTACTTACACCCCAACTTCCTGAAACTGGAAGGCTTGTTCCATGTGTGCCAACTGAATGAGTAATGTCCAGCTAGCGCTCATGGACTGTCTCTTCAGCCACTGGTGTAAAGGAAGCAAGCCCCTTAGCCCAAGGCAAGGAAGTTTTTAAGCTCTACAGCAAGATCTGATTTTGAATGCTATGTTTTTGTATGATAGTTGTATGACTTGGGAAAATAAGCCTTTTTTTTTTTTTTTTTTTAAATTTTGTTTGAGACAGGGTTTCTCTGTGTAGCCTTGTCTATCCTGGAACTCCCTCCATAGACCAGGCTGGCCTTGAACCCAGAGATTGCCTGCTTCCTAATGCTGGGATTAAAAACACCACTACCACCACTTGACATAAATTGATTATTCTAATCCTTGATTTATACTTCTTTAAAATATGGTAATAACTGATACATTCCAGGTTCAGTAAGGAAATAAATGAAAATGTAAAACTGCTGCCAAGAAATTTCATTCTCAGCATATTTCAGATATTAGGAAAAACATTAAATCAAAATTGAAGATGTTTTTTAATTAAAAAAAGACAGGAGCCGGGCGGTGGTGGCGCACGCCTTTAATCCCAGCACTTGGGAGGCAGAGGCAGGTGGATCTCTGAGTTTGAGAGTTCGAGGCCAGCCTGGTCTACAGAGTGAGTTCCAGGACAGCCAGGGCTACACAGAGAAACCCTGTCTCAAAAAAAAAAAAACCAAAAAAAAAAAAAAAAAAAAAAAAAAGACAGGAATATTTTCCCCTTAAGAACTGATGTTTTATTTCTGAGTTCAAGGCCAGCCTGGTCTTCAGAGTGAGTTCCAGGACAGCCAGGACTACACAGAGAAACCCTGTCTTGGAAAAAACAAACAAACAAACAGATTATTTTATTTAGTATGAAGGTATGAAGCCTGATATTTTGTAGATGCCTGATTGAATGAATCATATATAGCAAATACATATTAGCATGCTCTGAGCAATCTTATGTATTCCTTCAAGGTAATCCCAAGATCCTGATGAGAAAACACTGAGGTAAACACTGATGTCTACCGATAACACTGTTACCACTGAGACAGATTTTTATGTCTTCCAGACTGGCCCAGATTTTATTTTGTATCCAAAGATAACCCTAAAAGCCTGGCCCCGCCTTTTTTTTTCACTCCCATTATCTGTCTCCTGAGTGCTGAGATTAAAGCCTTGTACCATAATTTATTTCCTTCCTTATTAACCACTGGGCCTCTGGCTAAATACAACTCTACAAGTGTCACCGATGTTGGAAACTAGATCAAAGGTACAAGAGACCTTTCCATTTTTAGTGCTGGTCTTGAATCCTAGGACTTGGTGAATATGTTGGGTCAAGCCCAATAGCAAAGCATTAGCTTAGCATGTGGTAAGGCCTGAATTTGACCCTCAACACAGCAAATAAACCACAGATAGGGCCTGCTTGTGGCCCTGTCCTGGCTAGTTTTATGTCAACTTAATATAGTTACCTGAAAGGAGTGAACCTTGAGAAAATTCCTTCATAAGATCCAGATATATAGCATTTTCCTAGTCATAATTTTCTTAATGGGGGTGGGCTCAGCCCACTGTGGGTGGTTTCACCCCTAGGCTGGTGGTCTATAAGAAAGCAGACTGAGCAAGCAAACCAGTAAGTGGCACCCCTCCATAGCCCCTGCATTAGCCCTTGTCTCCAGGTTCTAGCCCTGACTTCCTTTAACGATGACTACTGCTGTGGAACTGTAAGCTGAGTAAATCCTTTCTTCTCCAACTGGCTTTTGGTCATGGCGTTTTGCCACAGCAATAGAAACTAACTAGGACAGGCCCATAGTTAACTCAGTAAAAGATGTTTTGAGATGATTTTGCTAGTATAGCCTAGATCGGCCTTACCCTTTGTTTCTCCTGCTTAAGCCTCCTGAATGTGTGCCACATTGGGCATAATACAAATTTCAATGAAGGAGACAAACAAGGGCTGGTGACATGGCTCAGCAGGTAGAGTGGTGCTTGCTGGGCAAGCCTGGTGACAGAGGTTGATCTCTGGAACTTACAGAAAGGTGGAAGGAGAATGGACTCCACAAGGTTGTCCTTCCAAACACATGTGTCACATGTGTGCTACGGCACAGACTTGTGCACACAGTTACACAATTTTAATTACACAACATAATTTTTAAAAGTGGCCATCTAATAAAAAAACCAAAAACCCAAGGTTAGCTAAGAACTGATTCCCAAAAGCTGTCCTCTGACCTTCACACACATGCGCCTATACTTAGACACATGACACACACACACACGCTAAATCATTTCTTTAAAAAGATAAAACTAAATAAAATATACTAACTTGCTGAAAGTTAGCAATCCAGACAGGCTGAACCCAGAGCTCACCTCCAGCATGGACAAGGCACACTGAACTTATAGGCCCTTCATGCCAACAAGAGCCACTCCTGTAGTCTTCATGCTTCTCAAATCCAGCCCTTGATTTCCAGTCTCCATGCACAGGAACTTGACCTTCACTCGGACCCAGTTCCTTCACAATTCTTTGGGTCTTGTCATCAGTCCGTCCTCAACCATCTCACATGGCAGCATTCTGCCTCTCCTGTCAATTCTGAGTCAACAGCTCAGGGATACCTACTCTGTCCCAGTAACATTTTCAGAACCATTCACATGCTGTTTGAATCACCCACAGGCACAACAGTTCTCACTAGATATAATGTATGTTAATGAGACGTTATTAAATAGTTCTTAGACCTTGTCACAAAAAACAAACAAAAAAAATGGGTGAGATCAGTGGCTCAGAGTAGTTGGAGCTTACAACTTATAACTCCAGTTCTGGGGATCCAACGCCATCTTCTGGCCTCCAGAGGCACTACACACATGGCGCACATAAGGGGAAGCAGGCATACATCAGACACACAAAACACAAAAGGATGGGTTGGTGACGGGGCTAGTTAATGAGGGACACTAGGTAAGCACACCTGATACAAAGGTCACGACACTACTTAGACTCTTCTCTCTGCTAAAGACAACAGGAGACATGGGAGCCATGCTTGTAACCCCTGCACAGAGGAGGCTGAGTCAGAAAGTGTCACTAAATAGTGACAGCATGGGCTGGGGAGGTGGCTTAAAAGGTAAAGGGAATTGTTACCCAATCATGAGCATTCACATGAAAAAGCTGAACCTGGTATCATAAAACACACTAACAGTCACACTAACACTAACACACACACGAGGGTCGGGGGGAGGCGTGGGGAGAGGGAGAGAAAGTGAGAGAGAAATAAAACTATATCACTAACAAATGAAAAGGATTTTTTTCCAGTCATAGCAAAAATACATATGTACATATTTATAAAGAAGGCATAAGGTATTTTCAGTATTACATGATTTTGTTTTGTTGAGTGCCTTTAAATGAGATTCATGAGCCCAGAGAATAAAAATCTGTTTCCCCAAAATAGTGTTTCAAATAGTGTACATTTTTGGTTTTGTCTTTTGGTTGATAGAGTATTAATATGTAGCCCAGGCTGGCCTCAAACTTGGGCACTAACAATCTTCCTGTCTCAGCTGCAGGAGGTGTTCATTATGACACGAATACATTTCTAGCACATTGTTTCAAGAGATGGTTGCTGGGTGACTCCAGGTACCTCAATAAAGACCATGGCATCTCTATGTTTTTTTCACACATGTACTTTTAGAAGCAGGTGATTCCCTCTTTGGGGTAAAGTAAGCTTAGGTTTGTAAGAACTCGGGCTGCACTCTGGCTACTTTTCGGAATTCTTTAGTGTGGGTCTTAGGGCACTGCATCTCACACCAACTGATAGGGACCATCTGGACACCTAGAAGGAAAGACAAAAACTAGTGTTGGAGGTGACTCAAGATACTCTGCTGAGGCTCTGTTCTTTTCAGATAGACTCGATGTAACTTCAGCTGAAGAAAGCTTGCTTAGCATATGGAAGACCATGGGTGTCATCCTCAGCATTAAGTAACGTTTCTCTAAGGGAAAAGAAAGAGTTCTCACTTATTCCATGATACATGGGGGCAGTTACCTAGTCTCCAACCTTTAGGAGATCAATCTAATCTCAGTAAACTGAGCTATACATTACTCAACAATGGGGACATGCTGAAAGATGAGACGTCAACACTGGGCAAGCATTGGGCAAGCATAGGAATGCACTCATACACAGTAAGACAGATACATCACTAGGTGACATTATCTTGTGGGTTTTTTTTTTTTCCGGTCTGGAAGATTCTCGGGACTAGACCCAGGACCTCATGAATGCTAAGGAAGTGGACTACCATTAAGCTACATCCTTAGCACTAGGTGTTACAATTGTAGGGGACCTACCATGGTATGTGATATCCATAATTAATTTTCTTCATTTTTTTTCAATATTATTTTCTATATCACATGTAAGTATGTGTGTCCCTATTGCTTCCCAGACAACCATGGTTCCCAGGGAAAGGGACTTGGGAGCACAAACTTACCTGACTCACTGTGGGCCACCACAACTCCTAACTCATTTTCAGCAGTAGTCAGCAGGTAATTGGACTGTGCATCACCTAGGGAGATCTAGTCACACCGCACGTGAAGGGAAACGAGGCTCTAAGTGCTGTTGCTTCTACGACTTAACCTCTCTTTTTTATACCTGTTTTTCTGACATGGTTTTATTTATCCCAGGCTAGCCTTGAACTCCTGATCCTCCTGTCTTCACCTCAAGTACTATGATTACATGATGTCATCATGCCCAGTTCCATCTCTTCTGATAAACAACCAGAAATCTGAGGAATAAAGAATGCAGTGGCAGTGAACCCCTTTAATCCCAGTACTTAGGAGGCAGAGGCAGGTGGATTTCTGAGTTCAAGGCCAGCCTGGTCTACAGAGTGAGTTCCAGGACAGCCAGGGCTATAAAGAGAAACCCTATCTCGAAAACAAACAAACAAACAAACACACACCACAAAAGGATACAACTTTGGCCAAAACTATGTCACCTGGCCGGAAACTCTTATAAATTTCTACCTGCAAAAAACAAAGAGGAGTAAAGGATATACACTAGGTCTGTGTGGCATCACTGACCACGCAGAAGAGCCAGAGATCTAAACTCAGGCTCTCATACTCACACTGTAGGCATTACCATCTCCCGAGCCTACTAATACCTTTTATTTATATACTTATTTATTTATTTATTTATCTACTTATTTATTTATTAATTATTTGGACAGCTAGCCCTAGTTAGCCGAGGACTTGCTATGTAGACCAGGTTGGCCTTAAACACACAGGGATTCACCTACTTGCTCCTCTCTCATGGGCACTGAAATTATAGACAGCTACCACCATGCTTGGCTAATAATAACAGCCTAATTTTATTTTGGTCAACTGAATGAAAAATGTCTTATATGGTAAGAAAGGACAATGATCTAAATTTCACGTTATTGCAGGAAATGTATTAAGAGACAAGGTCTTTGTAGTCCTGACTATCCTAGAACTAATTATGTAGACTAGGCTGGCCTCAAATTCAAGAGGTCTGCTGGCTTTGTCTTCTGAGTGCTGGAGTTAAAGGTGAGTATGCACCACTCCATCCATTATCCATAGTACACTTAATATATGTGTATGTATGTGTGCCTGAGTGACTGTATATGCACCATATGCATGGGGGGGGGCTGTGGAGCCCAAAGGAGGTTGTCACCATGTCCAAAACCTGGCATTACAGGGGGGTGGCTGTGAGCCACTGTATGGATGTTGGGAACAAAACTGATTCCTCTGGACAAAGCATAAGTGCTCTTCAAAGGCTGAGTCCCCAGGGATAACAATTTTTAAAGCAAGATTCCTAAAGTCATAGGAACAAATGCTCAGCCTCACAAAAACAAACACTCAAACCACCTATCACCAACCTTGTCTTTTTCAGTTGCCCGGATATCTTCCTTGCTGAAAAAAAAAACAAAAACAAAAACCCAAAAACCAAAGTAAGTAAGATTAGTTATTTGAGAAGGAAAGAATAATGAAAGGAAACAGACCTGGGTTCCCAACTGCCCCAAAGATGGACGGCCATCTTTAACATGGATGATAAAATTTACCCTTTCTTGGACAATACAGAACAATAGTATTGATAACTCTTGGCGATGGAAAAGGTTATCAAAAATTCAAGGTCATTCTTGGCTACATATGGAATTTAAGGACAGCCTGACTACAGGACTTTTGCCCCCCCCCAAAAAAAAAAACTAAACCAAACCAAATCAAACCAAACCACTGACACCAAACCATCTAGTCTACAATAATTACATAATTGCTTCCTTTCAAAGAAGCCACAAAACAATCTACCATTTCACCCACAAACCTTCGCTACTGATTCCATGTGTATGAATGCTTTCCCTGCCTGTGTATGTGTGCAGCACATGCATGCCTGCTTGGTCCCTTGCACTGGAGTTACTGAGTGGGTTCTGGGAATTGAACCTGGGTCTTCTAGAAGAGCAGCTAGCGCTCTTAACTGCTGAGCCATATCTCTAGGCTCTCTACAATATTTTTCTTAAAGTCTTTGGGTTCAATCAATATTAAAGAATAAGGTGTGCGTTGTAGTGCACGTCTTTAATCCTAGCACATGGGATATAGAGGCAGGAAAATTTCTGAGTTCAAGGTCAGGCAGGATTAAACATTGGGATACTACCTTAAACAAAAAATTTAAATAAATAAATAATGAAAAAGGTGGATGGCCAAGATGCCTCAGGGCTAAAGATGTATGTTGTTTAAGCCTGACAATCAGTTAAGCCTCTGGAACCCACGTCCAAGTGCAGAGAGAGAATAGCCTCCATAAAGTTGTCCTGGCTTTCACATGTGTTCTGTAGTATGGGTCAGCACACACAGATCACAAACAATAGCAATAAAAATGGGGGAGCAGAAAAAGAACAAGAAGGTGCTTCCTAAGAGGCTCTACTTTGTTTGGTTTGGCTCATCCTGACATGGCTAGACTGCAGCTTTCCTCAGTTCTTACAGAGACAGGGTTGCATGCAGCCCAGGCTGGCCTTAAACTTGCTATGTAGCCAAGGTTTGTTTTGAACGTCTCATGTTCCTGCCTCCATCCAGGGAAGCGCTGCTGCATCTGATCTATGTGGCACCTGAGATCAAATCTAGAGTTTCTCCATCAACTGAGCACCAACCAGCACCCCTTTGCTTTATTTATAAATCCTCCTGTTATTAACATTTTCCTAGCTCATGTAACAGTTCTCTGGATATACTGTGGGGTAAGAAGTAAAGTACAAAGGAGAGACTAAAGTGTCAGGAAAAGGAACTGTAACTGCTCCACAAATGCCAGTCTTGCTCACCATCCTCTCCTGACTCCTGGTGCTGAGGCAAATGTAAACACAAGAATACCTCTTACCGGATAGTTCCTCGAAAAGCATTTTTAAGAGGTGTGGATCCCACATACAGGATGTGTACTTTGGCAAACCGTGAGTTGATGCTAGAGACCTAGGAGACAGAGAAAGGATCAGCATCAGAGCATCTGCTGTCACTCAAGGACCCAGAGAGCAAGTGAGCAATTATAGGATTTTAGCTCAAGTGAAAACTACTCAATAGATTTTTTTAAATTCATTTATTTATTTTATATATGTGAGTACACTGTCACTCTCTTCAGACATACCAGAAGAGGGCATCAAATCTCATTGCAGATGGTTGTGAGCCACCATGTGGTTGCTGGGAACTGAACTCAGGACTTCTGGAAGAGCAGTCAGTGCTCTTAACCGCTGAGCCATCTCTCCAGCCCTACTCAATAGATTTAAGGATTTTGTTTGGTTTAGACTTATCTGATGTAATGAGTGTTTTGCCTGTATGTATGTATGTATACCACATGTGTGCCTGATGTCTACGGAGGTCAAAGGAGGGGGTTAGATCTCCTGGAACTGGAGTTATGGATGATTGTGAACTACTATGTGGGTGGTGAGGACTAAACCCCGGTCCTCTGCAAGAGCAGTAATTGCTCTTAGACTAAGCCATCTTCCAGCCCTTCATTTCATTTCAAAAAATTATATTCCTGTGTATCTATATTTGGGTATGTGCACTTGCGTGCAGGTACTCACAGAGACTAGAGGTGTAATATCCATCTTCTAGAAAATGCTGTCATAGGCAGCTGAGCTGCTCAAAGTAAATGCTGGGAACTGAAAGAAGGAAGTGCTCTTAACCTGAGAGCCATTTATCCAGCCAATTTATGGAAAGTTAACACCTATTTACTTTTGTCTAAGACATGTCTGTGGGCTAAAGCCACAGTGGCTACCTGATAGTGCTATTATGAGAATCCAAAGAGACTATGTTGTGGTGAATTGTTTATAATACAATCCTAGCTACAACAGAGGTTGAGACAGGAGGGTCTAAAATTGAAACCAGTTTGTGCAGGGCTGTGGTGGCGCACACCTTTAATACCAGCACTTGGGAGGCAGAGGCAGGCAGATATCTGAGTTGGAGGCCAGCCTGGTCTACAGAGTGAGTTCCAGGACATCCAGGGCTATACAGAGAACCCCTGTCTTGAAAAAAAAAAAAACCACCCCCCCCAAAAAAAAAAAATAGGAAAGAAACCAGTATGTTCTAAATAGCAAGTCTGAGGCCAGCCTCAACAACTCTGTCTCACTTGTTCCCCTTTCCCGGTCTCCCAGACATGGTTTCTCTTTGTAGCCTTGGCTGTCCTTGAACTTGGAAATCTGCCTGCCTCTGCTTCCCAAGTGCTAGGATTTAAGGGTGTGAGCCACCATGGCCTGGCTCCAAATTTAATAAAACAACAATAACAACAACAACAACAACAACAAAAAAGCACACTAAGTTTTACATAAATATACAATATAGGATAACAATCTAGACTCTTAACAGTTCTTCCCAAGAAACCAGTCTGTGGACGGAATTTAATCTACATTTTAGCTAATTCCCTGACAATGAGAACACTGTGACTTTGTGACGTTTTCAGAATAGCACAACATTTTTTTCTGTTATAGTTTAAAATGAGAGAAGGATGAAGCTGTGGGAGGTGGTCTACACCTGCAATCCAAGCACCTAGGACACGGAGACAAGGGGATCAATAAACAGTCATCCTCTGTTATACTACAGTGTGTGTGTGTGATGATGATGACAGAAAAATCAATCAATCAATAAGATCGGTAGAAGATGGAGCCGATGAGGAAACATCCTGAACACACAGAGCACATAGAGTTAGTTAATCGTACCTGCTCTCAAACACCACTGGTCTGAGGATGGAGCTCAGCTGGAGTAACACTTGACTAGTCTATACAAAGGCCTAGCTTCTCAGCCCAGCATTTTATAACACAAGGCACAATGGTACGTATCAGTTTTCTCAGCATTTTAGAGGTGTAGGCAAAAGGATTGCTTCATCAAGTTTGAGGCCAGCCCTGGGCTACACAGTAAGTTCCAGAGTATCCAGGACTAAAGAATGAAACTTTTTCAAGGAAAAAGAAAGAGGATACCCGGTTACAGAGCGGAGAGAGTGAGGAGGCTGTGTCTGGCTCCCGCTCTCACAGCCATTGCAGTACATTGAGCTCCATAGAGACAGCGCCGGGGCAAGAGAGAGCCGGACGGGCACTGGGCGACTCTGTGCCTCGCAGAGGAAAATCAACTAAACATGGGCAAAGGAGATCCTAAGAAGCCGAGAGGCAAAATGTCCTCATATGCATTCTTTGTGCAAACCTGCCGCGAGGAGCACGAGAAGAAGCACCCAGATGCTTCTGTCAACTTCTCAGAGTTCTCCAAGAAGTGCTCAGAGAGGTGGAAGACTATGTCTGCTAAAGAAAAGGGGAAATTTGAAGATATGGCAAAGGCTGACAAGGCTCGTTATGAAAGAGAAATGAAAACCTACATCCCTCTCAAAGGGGAGACCAAAAAGAAGTTCAAGGACCCCAATGCACCCAAGAGGCCTCCTTCGGCCTTCTTCTTGTTCTGTTCTGAGTACCGCCCAAAAATCAAAGGCGAACATCCTGGCTTATCCATTGGTGATGTTGCAAAGAAGCTAGGAGAGATGTGGAACAACACTGCAGCGGATGACAAGCACCCCTACGAGAAGAAGGCTGCCAAGCTGAAGGAGAAGTATGAGAAGGATATTGCTGCCTACAGAGCTAAAGGAAAACCTGATGCAGCAAAAAAGGGGGTAGTCAAGGCTGAAAAGAGCAAGAAAAGCAAGGAAGAGGAAGATGATGAGGAAGATGAAGAGGATGAGGAAGAGGAGGAAGAAGAAGATGAAGAAGATGATGATGATGAATAACTTGGTTCTAGCACATTTTTTTGTCTATAAAGCATTTAACCCCCCTGTACACAACTCACTCCTTTTAAAGAAAAAAATTGAAATGTAAGGCTGTGTAAGATTTGTTTTTAAACTGTACAGTGTCTTTTTTTATATAGTTAACACACTACCGAATGTGTCTTTAGATAGCCCTGTCCTGGTGGTATTTTCAATAGCCACTAACCTTGCCTGGTACAGTCTGGGGGTTGTAAATTGGCATGGAAATTTAAAGCAGGTTCTTGTTGGTGCACAGCACAAATTAGTTATATATGGGGACAGTAGTTTGGTTTTTGTTTTTCTTTTCTTTTGGTTTTCTTTTTGTTTTTTTTTTCCATCTCAGTTGTCTCTGATGCAGCTTATACGAAGATAATTGTTGTTCTGTTAACTGAATACCACTCTGTAATTGCAAAAAAAAAAATTTTGCCTGTTTTGTTGACATTCTGAATGCTTCTAAGTAAATACAATTTTTTTTATTAGAAAAAAAAAAAAAAAGAAAGAGGATACCCTTTTCACAGACATCAGCAGAAACAGGCTAATGAGAAATATGAATTCTTTTAGATGGTAGACGCTTAGCTGAGATCTTAACTCACTGCATAAGAAATGGTGATGCTGAATGTTTGAATCTGCTACCCCTACCTCCTGAGGATTGTATTTACAGGTGTACAACACCATGCCCAATTTAGATGGTGCCTATGGGTTAAGAGCCCGGCACCTTGTGCATGCTAGGTAAGCAATCTACCATGTAAGCTACAAGCTATGCAAAAACTCAACGTCTGAATTTATCTACCTTGATCCTGGAAGTCTTCAGAGCAACAGAGTACAGTGAAATTTCTTCAGACAAAATAAACAGAGCAAGCCTTTCTAACCTTTTAGAAATTCATCATTTTTATTATTATTATTGTGTGTGTTGGGGGCTTACATCCTACAGCATTAAGTGTGGAGGTCTGTTTAGTTTACTTTCTGTTACTGTGATAAATACATAGACCAAAAGTACCTTGGAGAGGAAGTGTTGTGGTTACAGGGAAAGCCAAGGTAGAAAAATGTAAGGTAGAACCTAGAGTCAGAAACAGAAGCAGAGGATGGCTGTGGAAAAGTGCTGCTTCCTGGCTCTCCTTGGCTTACCTAGCCAGCTTTCTTATACAATCCAAGATCATTTACCTAGTGGTGGCACTGTCCACAGTGGCCTGGGTCCTCCCATATCAAAAGCCAATCAAGAAAATGTCCCATAGACAGGCCTAGCTGATGGTGGCAAATCCTCAACTGAAGTTCCCTCTTTCCAGATAACTCTAGCATGTGGCAAGCTGATGCAAACTAAGCAGACAGCTTCGCTGAGTTGGGTTCTCCTGGATTCCTATTTACATGGGTCAGCGGGCTGGCGTGGGAAGTGACTGACTGATAAGTCACCGTACTGACCACTCGCACTCTCCCCCCCTTCTCCTTTGTTTAAGACAAGGTCTTACCATTATGTATATGTAGCCCCATCTGTATTGACACTCGCCATGTAAACCAGGTTGGCCTTGAACTCACAGAGACAGGCCTGCCTCTGCCTCTCTAGTGGTGGCATTAAAGGCACATGCTGCCATGTCTGTCTTCCCTCCAGCTCTCTTTGTGACAGAGTGTTACCATGCAGCCCAGTTCCCCTTTGAGATCCTTCACCTCTCGAGCACCATCCGAGGAGTGTGCACCCATGCCCTGCCAGCAAAAATTTCTGTAATGACAGAAATGTCATTTCCTGGGACTGGACAGATGGCTCAGCAGTTAAGAGCACTGGCTGTTCCCCTAGGGGACCTGGATTCAATTCCTAGCACCCATATGGTGGCCTATAATTATCTGTGCCTCCAGTGCCAGGGGGTGCAACACCCCTTTCTAGGCTTTGTGGTACCAGGCATGCATATGATACAGACAAAATAATTATTCACATGAGATAAAACAAAAAAAAAAATCATTTCCTAGAACTGAAGATGTACTTCAGGGGAGTCCATCACTTTCCCACATACCCCTAACAAAAGTGATGTGCCAACCAATATGGCGGTCACTAACTACAATTTGCTACTGAGTACTTAAAATGTGAATAGTGTTGGGACTGCAGGGTGCAGGGTCTCACTTGTGGCCTATTCTGGTCTTGAACTACTGTTTAATAATTCTGTTCAGCTTCCAAATACTGAGACCTGGCTAAAAATAATTGACCGTCTAACAGTAATAAACTTAAACAGCCCTATATAGCTAGGGACTACTGTATTAAGCAGTAGACCACGGCAGCTGTAGAATGGTGGCCTATGTACAATGACTAGGACTGGCTTACCTTACAGGTGACAACAGCTCCCACATCTGGAAGTAACTGGGACTCTGTTTCTCTCATTACTGACACCACGGGAAGCTGTGGACAGAGTACAAAGGTCAGTATACTACTGGCTAAGAAAGCCTTGGTTTGAGAATACTACAGGAGTATCTCAGAACAGTTGAGGCCCCAGGGCAGGCAGCCATAGCAGAGGACATCAGTCATTTTAGGGAATAACAAGGTTCAGAGGTCATTAGAGTTAGGGTGCTAGCTTTAATATCATTCTGTTAGTTGTAAATTACTTTAGAATCTCTTAGAATTTCCTGGTACAAATCCTATTGCTTATAATTATGAACATTCTGAATTTTTCTTCCAAGCTATACTTTTTTTTTTTAACTTCTTAAGTCAGGTTTTGCAACAAACTGCTACAGAATGGCAACTCTTGTTTCACTCCGGTGGCAGCTGGTGTGAGTACTATCTTCCCTCTCTTGCTCTGTGCTGTTCTCTCACCTCACTAAGTCCCTCCCACGTCACACTGTCTAACCCATTCTCCACGAGGGTCACACTCCTTCCACTCCTCCACCTCTACTTACCTTTGGATGCCTAAGTATTCTTGTCACTCTCTAGAACACACAGAGCCTGTTCCATGTTCTCCCTGTCCTGCACAATTCTTTACAAGATATGTGTGCATTTGCTCATGATGTGTGTCTGCCCCCTTAGTAACAAAAGCTAAGTGTACTGGGCTGGCGACTCTATCTCCAGCAGCAAATAAGGGCAGCACTGCGCAGGACACATGAAAGTGCTCTAGAGACATCTATGCAGTGACTAAACAGATAGGCTGAGTTTATCTCCAAAACCAATGGACTGGAACCTGTTTTTTTTTTTTTTTTCTTTTTTTACAAATAAGTACAACACAATGTTTAGGTTTAGCAAATCCCCAAAGAGTTTTTTTTTTTTTTTTAATTTTTCTGGAGATTGGATCTGTGGTCCCAAGCTTAGCAGGCTAGGTAAGCGCTGTACTGATGAGCCACAAGCCCAGCCTAAGGTTTAATTCTTAATTTTTTTATTGTTTTACATATGGCAACCACTGCTTTATCTGTTCCCGTTAGAAGAAGCTGGGAATACACTCGTCTACCACCATGCATGGTTACATTTAAACATCTAGTTGGGCAAGAATCTAGTGATCAAGAGTAACATATTTAAATAAGTGCTCTGGAGGAAGATTCTTGGGCATAACAATCCTACTGCCACCAAACTCCTAGTTTCTCAGGCAGCAGGTCCAGAAGGGGTTCTCTGGGAAAAACAAACAAACAGCCGATTAAATAAAGGGTTGAGCGGAAGTGTGTTCCAGACAGACATTATGTGCACTGCATAGGTTTCGAGAAACAACAGTTTAGTGCACGAAGACACTGAAAATAGACAGTATTACTACACCGATGTCAGTGAGGTGGGACACAAGAGCCACATGAAGGCGGAGCGGTTGTAGAGAGATGCACGACGGGAAGAAGCTCTCGGCTGGCTGGGCCACTCTCAAATTTGTGTGCTTTTCCCTCCACTTCCTTCTGTGAGTGCATCCACAGATCAACCTAACTGGTGTGCGGCAGATGTGCTTTAGCACAGCGCAGGGATCACAGCAGGGAGAAGCCGGGAGACCAAAGCCTTCTGCTGCTGAGCCACCAAAGACGCGTCCGCAGTGCCTGTGCCCAAGGACCAGAACTCAAAGGCAGCCTGAGAGGGACGCGCACTGGGTAGCCGCTTCCTTTACCGCGCCATTCTCGCTGGTCTTCGTCAGGCAGCCAGCCAGTGACGAAAAGATGTAGCCGTGCCGGGTGTAGGTTCCGCTGCCGGGGCTGCCTTCCTCCAAGTTACACAGACGTTCGCCTGCAGAAGACAAGCTGCCTCAGCCACGGGCGCCCAGAAGCTGGTGGCCACGCAGCCTGGAACTGCCTTGGATACCGCTCACTTACCCGGGATGCAGTACCTCACAGGTGGTGCCATGCTTGCCACGGTCCACAACCCGGATGAGAACCAAGACGACTTCTCATTGGTCAGCAAGAGGAGTGACTTCGCAGTTACCCGTGCACCAATTGGCGCCTTCGACCGAGCGAGGTTTAAGAGCGAGACCTGACTCCATTTCCCAGGCTGCCTCAGGACAGATCTTTGGGCGTGCCTTTGAGAACTCCGGGACTCGCGCCTGCGCAGCTGGGTGGTGATGGGCGGGCGGCGGGTCCCAGTCCGCTGGATGGCTCTGCGGGCCAAGTGCCATGGTGGGTCAGCCTTAGCTCGGCCCAGCCTGGGTCCCGAGCTGGAAAAGGAGGCAGTGATTGGCGGACAGGGAGACTGGTCCTAATCTGGCTGATTGAGAAACTGGCAGGAGTCAGGTAAGAGTAAAAGCGCGGTTCTTGCTTCCCATCCGAGTGTCCAGGCCTTTAAGTTAAGTTCCTGGTCTCTCTACGACCTGCCCTGCGTGGCTGTGTCCTCCTAAGTCCGAACGCATCCTCAGCCACAACTCGCCCATTTCATGAGTTTGAAGTCTCAGATCCAGGTTTGGTTTGTACAGAGTGTCAAAGATAGTTCGAGACAGCCCAAGCTTAAGCCTATTTTTTTTTTTTTTTTGATTTGAGCCCATCATAGTTGGACCCTGCTGTACCTGGAGACGCAGCCTTTTTCTAGTTTTGTAAAACGACAGTTCCTTCTCTTGCAGGCAGATACTCTAGAGTGTGAGCTCCTTAACTCCGAATGAGCAGCTTGACGGTGTTAACATAACATTCCTTTTGCTTTCTTCCTTTTTAGCATGTTAGCCGGGGAAGAAGCCTTCATTAATAGGAAATTGTGCTTTATTGGTGTCTGATATCAGCTTAAGGTGGCAAAGGTCACGCACGGGAGCAGTAGTTTTGTCCAGATGAAATTTGCCGTGACTTTGATCTCAGTTTCATCTGTTGGCTCTGGAATTTATTCTTATCTTCCCCTTCCCTCCCTGTCAGTCAGGCTTCTTTGAGATACAGATGGTGATTTAGGAGAGTGCTGTTGCCTGCTAATCTCTAATCTGGTGGCAGATGCCTGCTCTGGCCTATAGGTCCTTACTGAGAGGTGGCAGGCAGTACTTGGGGTTTGGAGGAACTATGCTGGCATATTCCTTCCCTGTTCATTCATTTCATCCATGCCTTCTCGTCACGTTTAGATTTAAAGATTTTGCTTTTTCTCTATTTCCTGAGGTAAAACTTTTTCACTTGTGGCCCATTTAATACATCTTTTTCTAGCCTCCTTATCCTCATATTCCACTAGGAGAGGGTCCTGGTTTCACTCTTTGTTCACTCAGATTTGATAAGTTTCTATAAGCTTTCCATTTTACATGTTTGATTTCTGGTTTGATATGTCCTCTAAATTATTGTCCTTTAGTGCCACAATTCTAATAATGGTTGTATTTCTTTATTAATCAGAATGAGCGCAGCAAATACTTTGATGTTGTCACATTGGTGAGGGTGTCTTTGCTGGTTTCTGTGGAGCTGCCTGCCTTTCCTGCTCTGCATCTCTCCAGGTCATTCATTCAACAAGTATTTATTGAATACTTCTATGAGCCAGGTATTATGCTAGGATGTTTATAAGCATTTGATTTAAACCTTGGCCATTATGTGTGTGTCTATGTATGCGTGTATATGTATGTATGTAAACACATACATTTGTATGTATAAGAATTTAAGGGTTAGAGAAGGTTACAAGATTACTTACAGAAAGATTTGAACCCCAAATAGGGTATAAATAGATGAGAATTGGTCAGTTGAGCCTTAAAGTGGCCCTTTCACACAGAACTCAAGGATGTAGGAGGTGATTGACAATCTGACTTCTTTTTAAAGAAGATGTTTCATGTATTTCATGCTGGTCTCAGAGTGGCTGTGTAGCCAAGGATGATTTTGATCTTCTTCTTTTTTTTTTTTTTTTTTCTTCGAGACAGGGTTTTTCTGTATAGCCCTGGCTGTCCTGGAACTCACTCTGTAGACCAGGCTGTCCTCGAACTCAGAAATCCACCTGCTTCTGCCTCCCAAGTGCTGGGATTAAAGGCGTGTGCCACCACCGCCCAACAATTTTGATCTTCTAATCATCTTGCCTCCAGATGTACACACATGCCCAGTTTTGAGGATTTTTATTTATTTTTATTATTTTTTTAGACACTATGTTTTAGACAGGGTCTTTTAAAGATTTATTTATTTTTTTATTTTATTTATGAGTACACTGTAGCTGTCTTCAGACACACCAGAAGAGGGCATCCAAGCTCATTACGGATGGTTGTGAGCCACCATGTGGTTGCTGGGATTTGAACTCAGGACCTTTGGAAGAACAGTCAGTGCTCTTAACCGCTGAGCCATCTCTCCAGCCCCAGACAGGGTCTTTTAAAGTTCCAGGACAACTCACTCTGTAGACCAGGCTGGCCTCTGCCTCTGAAGTGCTGAGATTAAAGGTGTGTGCTACCACCACTCAGCCTCAATCTTTCTTTTCTACATTTCCTGTTAATTCTTTCAGCTTCATAGGAGGTGATGGGAAAGGCCAGTGTCTTACCCTGGTGCAGTGGCTATTGGTCTTTTCCTCATTAAATTTCAGGTTTTTTGCAGGCTTTGTTGTTGTTGCAGTTTTTCATTTCACCTTTGGGTTTCCAAGATTGTGGAAGGAGATCATTAACTATTTTTGCAAAGCCTTTTAAAATGGGGTTGAGCCAGGGTGCAAGGAGAGTACAGTACTCCAGTTACTGAACGGAAACCCATCTCCACAGCAGAGTAGCTGCATCCAGTTTCTGCTAGGTCATGAGCTGCCTGTTAAATAAGTCAGTGAGGTTGCTGAAGGCAAAGCAGTATTCCCTACCCATCCTTAAAACAGATTCTTTTTAGGCAGCTAATGGGACTACCATGGAAAGTCTGCTGGTGTCTGTGCCCACAGTTGTGCTCAGTGCCAAGGCAGCGAGCTCCTGTGCTGTAGAAAGAGTGCTGAGAGCCAGCTCAGTGCCTGGGACGCCTGGGGCCAAGAACATCAGGCACAGAAATGCTACTTAAACAGAGAAGACCTGGAAAAGCTCCCAAGAGGGCAGGCCCCTCCCACTACTGTCTCATACTCTGAATACCTGAAAGTTAACTTGGTTGCTATATCCGGAGGATAAGACTGGGAGTGGAACTGGAGACAAAGTATCTTATGCCATGCTAGTGGTGGCTGACTGTTCTTACAGGGAACAAGGAATTATGTCATCTGGCTGGCCTGTAACCTCAGCCAGTCAGAGTAGGAACACCCGGATAGGGCCAGGAGAGTTCTAGTTACCGGATCCTGTGTATTATAGAGAGAGCAGGAAATCCTGGGAACCCCTTGCCTCTTACCATACCCCTTACCCATGTTAAGATAGGCAGCTTTGTTTATATTGGTTAAGCTTCACTCTGTGTAGACATATTATCTCCTAAATACCTTAAGAGAGCTGAGGAGATTGCTCAGCTGGTAAAGTATTTGCCTACAAGCATGGTGACCTAAGTTTGATCCAACAGAACTCATGTAAAAAGACAAGTCTGTCTGTAATCCTAGGGCTGGAGAAACAGAGATAGGTGGATCTCTGGAGCTTACTTGACTGAAGAGGTGAGTTTCAGGTTTGGTGAAAAACCTTGTCTCAATTAAAAAAAAAAAAGTGTATGTGTGTATGTAGTTTGGATGGGTGTAGTGGGGAGCTAAAGAGAGGGCTTCTGGTACACTTCATAGTACCATTCATCATTATTTTGGTTTTTTGAGATAATGTTTCTCTTTGTAACACTGGCTGTCCTGGAACTCACTATGTCAACCAAGTTAGTCCTGAATTTAGAAAATCAACCTGCTTCTGCCTCCCAGGTCTGGGATTAAAGGCAGTCACCATGCCTAGTCAGTACTCTCTTCTTGTGGAAGACTCAGCACACACATAGCAGCTCACAGCCATCTAAAAGCTCCAGGGGATCAGACACCCTCCACTGGGCACTAAGCACACACGTGGTACTGTTGCAGGACATTTGATCACACTGTGAACCCCAAGATTGTGTTATTAACTGACTGAAAAAACTTTCTAGTTGTGGTGTGGCTTAGCCTTAGCACACCTTTAATCTCTCTGGCTGAAATACAGACACACCCTTAGTACACACCTTTAATCCCAAACAACGAAGGTGAAGTTTGTAGAAGGAAGTATCCACGTTTGAAAGTGATATGTAATTGAGTGGCAGACAAAGTGATGAGTCAGAGAAAGATTTGACAGGTTAGGAAATGCCCAACTCTCATGAGGAGAGAGATGCAAGAGAAGCTACTTAAAAGAGCAGTGCAGAGAGAGGAAGGAGGCAGTTTTACTGGGACAGACTTACAGAGACAGGTTGCAGAGAACAGGCTAGACACAGGTCAGTGAGAAGGAGCCAGAGATTAGAATATACTGCCGAAGTTAGTATGAAGCCATGCAGAGTAATTTAGGAGAAGCTGAGAGACTTTTGAGCCAGAATAGCTGAGTTGAACCAGCCAAGATCAGAATCAGTGGTAAGTCTCAGGCTGAAAACATTCTAGGCCTAGATTAGATTGTATGGAGGCTAGAAGCTTCCAGGACTAGGCCTAGGTTAACAGACGGAGGGGAGACAACAGCTGCTTCAGGCCAATAAAAGATACTTTTAACATGGTACACTTGCATGTAAGCAAGAAGTATGTGGCGAGTGACTGGGGAAGAGATACTTGTTACCTGTGTCTGGCCTCCATGTATGTATAGCACGCATAGAAAGAACTCCAACTTGATGCTGTTTCTCTCTTTGCTGTGGCCCTTCAGTTGTTAATTACCTGGGATTTGCTGCATAATCATGTAGTATAATGTAAATATGACATTTGTAGGCTCAGAACCTTCAGTCCCTGCATCCTGTAATATGGTTGGAGTAATGACACTGGGAATTCTATAGAAAAGTGGCCTTTTCTATTTTCATAGCTGATGACTGGTCTAACTGAGAAGTCCTCTAACTTGATGCTTTGGGGCCTTCTCACTGTTGGAGAGGATGAGGTATGGCTCAGGCTAGATCCTTATATTAGTGTATTCTCCTAGGAGCCATGCGGGGCCAGCGAAGTTTGCTGCTGGGCCCAGCTCGCCTCTGCCTGCGTCTCCTTTTGCTCTTGGGCTACCGGCGTCGATGCCCACCTCTTCTCCGGGGCCTGGTACAGCGGTGGCGTTATGGCAAGGTTTGCCTGCGCTCCCTGCTCTACAACTCCTTTGGGGGCAGTGACACTGCTGTTGATGCTGCCTTTGAGCCTATCTACTGGCTGGTGGACAATGTGATCCGCTGGTTCGGAGTGGTAAGTGACATGATGGTGCTCTAGAAGCCAGGAAAGGGGATGTTTTATGGGGAGAGAGGATGTTTCTGATGGACTTACCCTGAGTTTTGGAGGCAGCTTACCAAGCTCTGGAAGTTCCTGAGTCTTTCAGGGTATCGTGCCCTCACAGCATCTTCTTGACATCACTGGTGTTGGCAGGTGTTTGTGGTGCTGGTGATCGTGCTGACTGGGTCCATCGTGGCCATTGCTTATCTGTGTGTCCTGCCCCTCATCCTCCGAACCTACTCAGTACCACGGCTCTGCTGGCATTTCTTCTACAGTCACTGGAATCTGACCCTCATCGTCTTCCATTACTACCAGGCCATCACCACTCCTCCTGGACACCCGCCCCAGGTGGGACCCCACGGGCATGGGGAGGAACACTTGCATGCTATGGCAGCCAGTCCCATATATGGGAGGGAAAATGACTTGGGATTTTTTTGAGGCAGAAATCTTGTCCTGCTCTAGTAGTCAAAATGTTCTTCTCAATTTGCACAGGGTAGGAATGACATTGCTACTGTTTCCATCTGTAAGAAGTGCATTTACCCGAAGCCAGCCCGAACACACCACTGCAGCATCTGTAATAGGTGGGTCTCGGCTTTGCTCTGAACCCCATTTGAATCCCTTTTGCTATAGCCCTGGGCAAAACCTGGCCCTGGAGTTAGTTAATTGTGTATCAGAGTCTCTGTTAAGATGTAGTTAGGCACTGTGCTTCCTATCTGCTGACACCTAGTCTTCAGCATGGTCTATGAATGAGGCATTTCTGTCACTTGTACAAATTGAGGCAATGAGATGTCTCCTTCCTTGTCAGTAGCTATTAAACGAAAGAACTGGGTTTGAAGGAAGGCCTGGCTGTCTTCAAAGTCTGTGCCCTTTCCACCTCAGCAGGATGCTGGTCCTAGTAGGAAAGGATTGTCACTGACATCTCAAGATCCTTGGCCACCGTAACAGAGCCTGTGTCCCTCCCTCACAGGTGTGTGCTGAAGATGGATCATCACTGCCGTATCCTTTTGCTCTCATCAGCCAAGACCTCCGGTTTTACCCCAGAGCACTGCACAGGGTTCATAGTCCTCTTCATGCTCCACACTTCTCCCTAGCATCAGTCCAGAGAATACTGGTTCATGAGAAATTAGTAGAAGAGGCATTGTGGGGGGTGGGGGTCTTACCATTTTTTGGGAGGAGCAGAATGTTTATAGGCTTTCTAGAATGGATTTTGTAGGAGAAAGGAATTTTCTGGCAGGTCTTTTGTGGAGAATCAAAAGGTGTTTTGGCATCTGTGGATGAAGATGCCAGATAGAACTGTGGGTCCCATTTTGACATTCTATGCAGATGGCTAACCTGAGTTAGGTTGAATATTTATTTGCAGGTGGTTAAGATTTCCTGGTGGCATCTAGAAGCCCTGAAAAGCTTAAACAATTTTTACCTTAACCTTGGGAAACTGTCTTCTATTTTCTTGCCTTTATGCTGATGCCTTTGGGTGATGTCTTGAACTAAGAATGAGCTATAGGGGCTTGGACACCCCCAAATTACATTTGGTCTTGTCCTTAATCATTCCTCTACCAGCCTGGCTAAACAACTGTGTGGGCCACTATAACCATCGCTACTTCTTCTCTTTCTGCTTTTTCATGACTCTGGGCTGTGTCTACTGTAGCTACGGAAGTTGGGACCTTTTCCGGGAGGCTTATGCTGCCATCGAGGTGAGCCCATGGCTAGGAAGAGAGTCATTCAACATAGCAGAAACCTTTCCCCAAGGAATTATTTGGTAGCCCCTTGTCTTAGAGGCCTGAGAGTGTAACCCACACTGTTTTCATCCCCTTAGAAAATGAAACAGCTTGACAAGAACAAACTACAGGCGATTGCCAACCAGGTGGGCAGTCTCCACTCCACTGCCTCCTGCTGCTCAGGCCTGAGGGTTAAGAGTTAATCTTAACCTGAGGGTCTGCTATTTTAGTAACATAGGCTGGCTGCCAGACTGGTGAGCTTTCTAAGGAAGCTTTCATGGGTAGATTAAGTAGCCTGAGGGCAAGCTGGAGGTCTTTAGTAATCTATGCCATCATCACTTCTTTGTATTGAGCTTGGACTCTGCCTTCATGATGGCCTGAGCAGCAAGGGGTCTATGTTAGTCTGTGTAATGGGGTTCCAGGGGACAGACACCAGGCTGGTCTGGCAGCTTTGGGATCACCCCACCCACACACACACCTGTTCGTTTTAGGAAACCCTTATCCTGTGCCCTTAAACCCTTAATCCTTTGTGGACTGACTTTTATATTGCACTCCTGTTGCTTTTTCAGAGTCCTGCTTCCCCCCTTCCCATTACTCCAAGCCAGGTATAGATCTACCTCTTGTGGGTGTAGCCACATAGTGAAGGAGATGTGGCTGGCTAGAGATTGGAGTGGTTTCCCCTGGAGTCCCATTACTGCTGGCAAGCTACAGACTCCGAGTTAGTTCCTTCTGTGCTTGGCTGTCTACCCACTGTCTGTCCATGTGATGGTGCCACCGGGCTTGATCCCCCATCTGCCTGCTGGTCTGATTTCCTCTGTGGCTTTAATCCCCATTTTTATCTGCCTGGTTTTATATTAATTCCTGCCTGTAGGTGCTTGGGGTTCTGGTGACAGTTGCTGGAGACTGGCAGAGCAAGGGAGCCAGGCTTTGCTGTTTTCTTTTTGTAGACGTACCACCAGACTCCACCACCTACCTTCTCCTTTCGAGAAAGGATAACTCACAAGAGTCTTGTCTACCTCTGGTTCCTGTGCAGGTATTTAACTCTCAGTTTGATATTTGATAGTTCCCCATCCCCCACCCCCTTCTCTGTATAGCTTTGGCCGTCCTGGAGCTAGCTCTGTACACCAGGCCGGCCTTGAATTCCTAGAGATCCAACTGCTCCTGCTTCCTGAGTGCTGGGAATAAAGGCTTATGCCATTACTGCCTGGCTCAGTTTTGGTATTTTTAAGGGAGGGTGGCATTTAGAAAAACCTTTTTAGATGCCATTGTCCTGGTCTGACGCTGGCAAAGAGAGCTTTTCTTACATATTTTTGGGGCAGAGAACAATAGAATGTAGCTACTAAGTACCAGTAAGACAATCATGCTTGTTATGTGCCAAGGTTAAGTGAAGCTCTTATTTTATTGATTCCTATCCAGAAAGTATATGGCTCCATTTACTGTGAAGGGAAATCAGAAACTTCGAGTAGTAAATGGATTTGTTCTACAGTGCACAGCTAAGAGTTGCAGAGTTGGAATACGACTTTTTGACAACCAAGTCCAACCCCTCATGCTTGTATGATCCTTTACTATCTTCCAAGCATGGCATTTTAAGAAAGTCTACACTTTTCTCAGTGGCAGACTTAATTTCCCCATCTTCCTTTCCATACCACTTTTCTCCAGCCTACTTTAATGACTCTCTACTTTAAAAGCTCACCTAGGCCCTATATGAGGAGATCAGGAAAATGAAGCAGAGAGGCTATGAGCCAGTCATAACCACAAGTTTGACTCCCCTCTGTCTTCCAGCTTCTAATTTCTATCAATTTTTGCCTCTTAGTTCTGTGGCCCTGGCCCTAGGTGCCCTAACCATGTGGCATGCTGTTCTCATCAGTCGGGGTGAGACTAGCATCGAAAGGCATATCAACAAGAAGGAGAGACGCCGGTTACACGCCAAGGGCAGGGTGAGTGTGGAAGGGACTGGGGGAGCAGGTGGCTAACTGATGGTGCATCCATTTAATAAACAGGCCGCCATCAGGCTGACTTAGACAGGTTTCTAGGTTTTCGTTTTGTTTGTTTTAAAGCTGGGTCCCATTATGTAGCTCTGGCTGGCCTGGAATGCTCAGTGCTGGGGTCAAAGGCATGCATCACCACAACCAGCCAACAGGTGTCTTAACAGCTAGACTTTGCTTACAGGAGTTCTATCATCTCCAAGATGAGAAGGAGATTAAATAGAAGAGTCACAGTGATTTTTCTTGTCCCTAGGTATTTAGGAATCCTTACAACTATGGCTGCTTGGACAACTGGAAGGTGTTCCTAGGTGTGGACACAGGAAGGTAAAGTAAGAGGCAGCAGTGCTGTGCAACACCACTGTGATGGGAGGTGGTCCACACCCAGGAGCAGAGACTGGGACTGAGCTGAAGCTAAGAACAGTGCTGTGGAACCAAACGCCCACACTCCCTCAGCAGGGAAGCTGGTCTGTCCACAACAGCAGAGGCTAGCTAGTGTCCCTGAGGAGTCTGTAATTAGGATTCATCCTTAGGAATAGCCATGTGACCAGCTTTTTGTCATACACTCGGAATAACCGCCATTTTATTTGAACCATTAGGGTCTGAGGCTAAAACTTTTTAAAGAAAATAATAGTATTTTTTCTGTATACATGTATGCATATCATGTGCATGTCTGTACCTGAGGTCAGGGGAGGACACTGGATGGATCCCTCAGAACTGGAGATGGTTACAACCTTATGGGTACTAGGAATCACAACTGGGTCCTCTGTAGGAGTAACAAGTACTTAACTGCTGAGCCATCTCTCTAGCCCCTAAAACTGTGGTTTAAAAGGTTTGGTTCAAGACGGCTAGAGAAGAGCTTGTAGGTAGGCACTGTATCTGGAGTTCAAGCCAACAATTTGAGAAACAACCTACATGTGACAGAGGTCCTACAGCAATGTGAGGGACTAGCTCTGTCCAGTCCAAGAGGAAACCATTTGTTAAGTTGTAGATTCCAGGCCAGGCATGACTGTGGACATCTGTGTACATGGCTCTGTAATCCCGTCCCTTGGATCAGGAGTTGGATGACCTTGCCTCCCCTCACCCTGTGCCCACCCTGATGTTTACTGAGGGTGGCAATCAGATGAGTCCGTGTATGTCCTTCCCTTCCTCTTTGCCTCATCCTCACTGCATTCCCACCTCTACTGTGCTTACAGTCTCTTAAAAGATTGGGGCTGGTCATGGTGGCCCATGACTGGAATTCTAGCATTCAGACCAGGGGAGTAAATCAGTAGTTCAAGGCTACCCTGGGTTACACAGTGACACCCTATCTCTCTGTTTTTTGGTTTGATTTTCGTTTTTCCAGACAGGGTTTCTCTAAGTAGCTCCAGATGTCCTGGAACTCACTCTGTAGACCAGGCTGGCCGCGAATTCAGAAATCTACCTGCCTCTGCCTCCCAAGTGCTGGGATTAAAGGCATGCGCCACCACTGCTTGGGAGTGACACCCTATCTTGAAACAAAAATAAGTGACTTAAATTGAGAAGAGCATGCTTAGAGCATATGTGAACTGTTCTTAAGCTTTGTCTCACCACTTCCCAGGCTTTTTGTGCTGGAAAATTTTTTATTATATTAAAAAAGTGCTTGAGATGCCTTCAGAGCCCCAGAGGGTACAGTTTTCAGACAGAATCAGATAAGAGATGAGAACTCTGTCCTTCTGTTTGATGTATGCTTGGGAAGGACAGCCAAGAACTCAGAACTAAAGAGATTTTTTTCCCGATCATTCCTCACAGGCATTGGCTGACCCGGGTGCTGTTACCTTCTAGTCACCTACCCCATGGGAACGGGATGAGCTGGGACCCTCCTCCCTGGGTGACTGCTCACTCAGCCTCTGTGATGGCCGTGTAAGCCACAACATTGAACATTGTATCTCAAGAGCTTCCAAGGGCAGCTTTTCCTGGAGTCATGACCATAAAGAGCCGTGAGGCTTGCCTTAGAGTACTACACAGGGACACTGGAGACCAGTCTCTGCCACCCTCAAAACAAGATGCAGTGCGGAGAAACTCAAGGACTGCAGTCCCTTTACTCAGGCAAATAAGTTTTAGCTCCAGATGAGCTCTACGTCACAGCACTGGGGCTAGACATCATCTCTTTCTCTTTAGGAAAAGATTCATCAGGTATGTTGAAATTCTGGCTTCTCAATGGGTCAAAGACACTAAGCCTATTGCCAAGGTCACTGCCATTTCTCACATGCTACAGAAGGAGCGAAAATAAAAGCATTTGATTTGTAAAGATACGTAGCTTCTCTGACTTGGTGAAGGTCAGGCTCAAGAAGGCCTGAGTGGGCATTCAAAGTGTGTCTCCTGTGCCTTTATTTTGAAGGGCTGGGAGCTCTCGGTGTGTGTTATTACAGCATCTATATATATAGATACAGGGAATACATGTGAGTCTGCCCATTACAAAAAAGTCTTTATTCTCTGGCAGGTGCACTCATGTAATACCATCCCTAGTTCTGGAGGTCACACCCAACTGCATTGAACCTTCAGCAGCACAGCTTCCTATTTCTGACAGCCCCAAGATCCCAGGTCTTTTCCTCAAATACAAGTCTTAGTCTCTTCAACAATCCGTTAGAAATCGTGGCTCTTGAAGAGTTTGGAACAGCCATGCAGGAGAGGCCCAGCATTTGTACTGCATCCATGGAAAGGCAAGCCAGTGGTCTTGTCTTGTGGGATGGCTCAATAGTTAGCACTTGCAGGTTAGGTTGTCACGAGGGTTTAGGCCAGGACCAAGAGCTCAGCTCCCAGGGCTCCCCAGTAGGAACCTGTAGACACGAAGAATGTTACAACACTATTCTGAGGTTCTCCTTGGTCCTACCATTCCCTTCAGCCAACAGCTTACCATTCTCCCCTCGCTGACACTGCTTCCTTGCGCACAAGTCTCTTCTTGTCATCCAGAGGCTTGGCTAAGGCTCGGATCACCTGAGATTTGTATGGCAGTAGCTGTAAAGTCAGAGACATCATCTTACTCTTGCTGAGCAACAGGAAATGATGCTCCCCACACCGTGCAGCTCACATTCTGATGGAAGTGAAATGTGCCCTATTTTAAAGAATTATTTTATACACATGCCTGGTGTCATGAGGCCAGATAAGGGCATTGGAGATCCCCTAGTTTGGACATTAAAGTTGATTGTATACTGCCATGTGGGTCCTAGACATCAAACCTGGGTCTTCAGTGCTCCTAAGCAGGGAGCCATTTCTCCAGCCCCGGTTTTCTTCTATGTGTACCATGTATGTAGTTCCTGTCTTACCACACTCAGTGGCTAATCTCACATGAAAACAAAAAAGTATTAAACCCAGTATGCCAGTGTCCATGAGTCAGGCCAGATTGGAGAACAGGGATTACCCTGTCTCAAACAAGCACTCTGACTCTTCAAAGACTTACCACAGAAGTGGGCAGGCGAGTGAGAGCGTGCATACACTGCAGAGCAGCAATCCGGACAGCCTGGAACACAAATAAGGTCAGGGGAGACAAAAAGAGAAAGGCACTGAAGGGTGTGCTGGGCCCAACGCACCATTGAATGACTGGAGCTGAGGTTCAGGAATTTCGTAACCAGAGTATCAACATGAAGACTCATGATTTGGGGTGCTTCCAGTAGTAGGGGTTGGAGACAGCTCAGAGTAGAAAGCTGGACCACAGAGTCAGGGCAGGACAGTGCCTCCAGCAGCAAGGAAAGGAGCTAAGAAGCAATGGAAAACAGGATGTACATTATGGTCTTGGATCTCACTCTACCAGATGTAGCCATGGGAACAGCCCCCTTCCTTGCTGAGGGTACCTGCAGGACTTACTGTGGGCAGCTCTGGTAAAAGCACAGGCTTGGGCAGCCTGTTGAGTACATGAGACAGACCCTTTAGATAGTTTGGCTTCACATCTGGGGATAAAAAGAAAAATGATGTGTAGGAGAAAAACGGGTTAGACATTCAGTTTGAGAATTCAATCTCTAACTCACATGAGTAGGTATATCAGCTTATAAGGAGGAGGCTGAGGCGAGGGGATTCAAAGTCAGTCTGAGCTACAGTGTGAGACTTGCCTAAAAAGAAGGGTTGAGACTAGGGAAGATAGGTCAAGTGGGAATGTACTTTCTGTGCAACACGAGGACCCAAGTTTTAGTCTCACTGAACCACATAAATAGGTAAGTGCTGCAGTGCACCCAAGTGGATACAGAGCTGGCTAGCTGATCCTGACAAAGCAGCAAGCTTGAGGTTCACTGGGAAATCCTGTCTCAGAAATGAAGTTGAAGGGCTGGCGAGATAGCTCCTTAGGTAAGGGCCCTGGCCTCTATGATCTAAGCTCAATCCCTGGAACCCATTTGGTACAACTAACTTTGTTAGCTGTCCTTTGACCTTCAGATGCACATCTTCATACACACACACACACACACACACTGTGGAGAACAATGTAAGAACATGCAGTCAGGCCATCGAGATGGATCAGCAGGTCAATGGGTAAAGACACCTGCTATTAAGCTTCAATCATTGGAAGCTACATGGTGGAAGGAGAGGCCTTCACAGACATACTGTGGCATGCAATTAATAAAAAATGTAATAGGGCTGGAGAGATGGCTCAGTGGTTAAAAGCATTGACTGCTTTTCCAGAGGTCCTGAGTTCAATTCCCAGCAACCACATAGTGGCTTATAACCATCTGTAATGGGATCTGATGCCTTCTGGTTTGTTTGAAGACAGCTATAGTGTACTCATATAAAATCAATCTAAAAAGTTAACTAAAAAGGTATTGGATGTTGACTTCTGGCTCCCACACAAACATGTATACACACACACACACACACACACACACACACACACACACACACACACAGAGTTTAAGAAGCCTCTTGAGCTCATAATAGCTCAGATGTACTCATCAGGGAAAAGTGGGATGGAAGTATATCTCTGTAGGTCTGGGTCCTAAATTACTGTGGGGCTTATGGCCAAGAGCAGAGGTCCACGTATTTGGGGATCAGCTTTCAGACACCTTGGGGAGCGGCATGGAAACCCTGGACCAAAGCAGGCACATTGTCAGTGAAGAACCGCTGGCGGAACATGATCCGAACATCAGCATGGCCGGCACGAGTCAACACATCAGTGCAGTCAGACATGAGTAGAGAGAAGCCATCAGCTGCTGCACAGCCTAGCTCTGGATCACTGAGAAGGCCCATGAGCTAGTGAAAAAACAAACAAACAAACCAGCCTTTTAAGTGTGATAGAAAGAAAATCTCAAACACCAAAGAGAATGAAAGCCTTGTAAGAATAAGAGACCAGGGGCTGGAGAGGTGGATCAGTGGTTGATAGCACTTGCTGTTCATCCAGAGAACCTGGGTTAGGTTCCCAGAACCCATATGGTGGCTTACAACCATCCGTAACTCTAATTCCAGGGGATCTGGCAATGTCATCTGCCCTTCTTGGGCAGCAGGGATGCATATGGCATGTTCTGTATACAATAGCCACACACTCAAGACATGTATGTATGTATGTATGTATGTATGTATGTATGTATGTGTGTGTGTATGCATGTATGTATGTATGTATGTATGTATGTAGTGTATATATACACACACACACACACATACATGCATATACACATTTATTCATATAAGATAGGGCTTCTCTATGTAGCTCTGGCAATCCTGGAACTCTTGAGGTAGACCAGGCTGGCCTCAAACTCAGAGATCTGCCTATCTCTGCCCGAGTACTAGGACTGAAAAGCATGAGCCACCATGCCCAGCAAAACTTAACTCTTTATGAGGTAAACAGGATCCAAGGTGAGTTCTGTTTTAGATTCGAGTTCTGCGTTAGAAACTTACCCGGGTGGTCAGGCAGGCACTGAGAGGATGGTATCTGAGGACTAGAGCCTTGGTTACCTGTAATCACGAAAAAGAGCCTGACATTCAAACTCCAGAACCCAGAGGCACTCCTGCTACGTGTGGCTCAGGGGCTTTGGAGGCTTGAATGAGATGTCTATCCCTGTAAGTCTGGTATTTGAGTATTTAGGAGGTCTGGCCTTGCTGGAAGGAAGAATGTCACTGGGGGTAGGGTTTGATGTTTTAAAAGATTTTAAGTCATTCCCAGTCTTTCTCTCTGCCTCCTGATTTTGGATCAAGAAGTGAGCCCTCAGCTGTTCCTGCTGTCATGCCTTTGCTCTGCCATCATGGACTCTGACCCTGAGTCCAGTTTAAACCCAATTAGATGCTTTCTTTTATAACCTATCTTAGTCATGGTATTTTAACCCAGCAATAGTAACTACTATGTTACCTCCTTACCCAGAGTAGCAGTGTAAATGCCTGATTACGGGAGGATTCCGAGGCCAGGCCCGCCTCCACTGTGTCCACAGCAAGCTGGAGGAACTCATCCAACTGCTGCCCTAAAAGGAAGGAGGACATGATGGTGCAATGGCAATGCAGGTTTTTATTTAAGGACAAAGGATGCAAATTAATCCAGTGCAGAGCACCTAAGAAGCCATTAGAAAAGGACAACCAAAATGACAGAATGCCAGCAGGACAGCCTGGCAGAGGTGCAGTACTCAATATAGGGTGCTGGCACCTGAGAGAGCTGTCTGCTCCAGTAAAGACTTACTCCGTGGAGGCTGGAGCAATGGCTTAGCTCTTGACAGCACTAAGTGCTCTTGCAGAAGACTGTGGTTTGGCTCTAGAACCCATATGGCAGTTCACAACCATATGCAGCTCCTGTTCCAGGGGATCCAATGCCCTCCTCTGGCTCCCAAGGACACCAGGTACCCATGTGGTGCATATATGTATATAACAGGTAAGTTCTCATATACAAAAGATAAGCATCTTTTAAAAATATTTCTATTATCTTTAAGTATATGTATGCAAGTGTCTATGTGGCTATGTACATTTGAATGCAGGTGCTCCTGAAGTCCAGAGAACTTGCAGTTTTGAGCTTTCAGATGTGGCTACTGGGAACTACTTTATGAGCATAGTACATACACCTAACCCCTAAGCCATCTCTCCAGCACCCCCCCTCCAACTTCTCGATAGCACCACGATGGAACGAGATAGCAGACATGAGTTGAACCTCCTCTTTCTACTCTCTTCTTGGACCCTGAAATGTTCTGCTAAACTGTAGTCTCTGAAAAGACGGAGGATAGTAGGTGAAGATTAGTAATTATGAGCTCCTTTAAGGAGAACAAGGACTAAATTTGTAGATTTCATCACTAGTTGGCCAGAGGAGGCTCGTGACCCCACCCAGCCCAGTACCTGGAGGCTGCTTGTTGAGGAGCCC